AAATTTAACTTACCCACTCCCCCCCCCTTCCCGCTTCTGCAAAATACATTTTACAAACATTTGAAATCTTTAATAATTGGAACAAATATGTCATTCCACTCATTGTTGTCTGATTAGCCTCAAGCTGTTTCTTTTGAAATGTTTAATGCCGGCAATTAGCTATGATAATGTTACGCCTTTTTTTCAAACGAAAATTTCAATTTGTTGTTGTTGTTTTGCTGCTGCTGTTTGTTTATTAAACAAAACCAAATGTAAATAAATAAACATGGCAAGTAGGGGGGGGGGGGGTGGTTGGAAGACGACAGGTGGACAAATCTAGCGACCGGCTACCAACAACAACTAATGATATCAAGTGGCAGTGTGAAAAAGATAAAAACAAAAAACATAAATACATTTAGATTATTTCAATTGCCGTCTCGGAAGAGGGGGTGGGGGGATACCCCCCAATGGTAATCACGATAAGATGTCATTGCTACGGCCTTAAGTAGCTGCTTTCAAAAGACAAATCAAACAGAAAGAAAGCGGGAATATTTTAAATAAAAATATATGTTTGCTTTTGTTTTTTTTTTTTTTTGCTACTGCTTCTTAATAAAATATTTTTATTTGACATCAAAGATAAATGACAACAAACATATCCTTGTGTATCCTTTGAAAAATAAAAGAAAACGAAAAAATAAATGTATTAAAGGATCAAAGAAGAGGCAACAATTACAATTAATTCCCAAAGGATTTGTGGCAATGCAAAAAAATTAAATTTTTATTGTTTCAAAGAAATAAATCGCATCTCATGCCATGGCTCAACCCCCGAGCCCAAGGGTGGTGGGTTAAAATGAATAATGCAATAAAAATGGATATTAAATATTTCAAAATTTTGACATATTTCATGACATTCTTTTGCATAAATTATTCTGTTCATGTCTTGCGTATTTCCCTAAATTTTCCGATGGGTAATATTGAGAAATAGTATTCATTTAAATGCCATTCAATGTCATATCCTTAGTGATATGGAAATTACTGCAGAGAAAGAACAAGTAAAAAACAGCTAAGTTTGGCCTGGCCGAACTTTTAATATCCTCCACCATTTTGAAGGAACTTGATTATTTTCAAAAAATTTCCAGAAACTAGCACTTAAAATAAAACTGTTATATGGAGACTATACGAAGACGTAGACCTGCTTACGAATTTTTTTGTCATGGGCCGTAGTATCCATTACGAACTTCAAATGCGAAATTTGAAATAATTCCGGTGAATAATGTCGCTAAAATCATCAAAATACCGAGTATTGGGAGGTACCGTCATATGGGCTCTATACGAAGACGTGGATCTGCATACAAAAATTTTTGTCATAGGCTGTAGCACCCATTACGAACTTCAAATACGAAATTTGAAATAATTCTGGTAAATAATGTCGCTAAAATCGTGAATAAACGGAATATCCGGAGGTACCGTTATATGGGGGTTATACGAAGGCGTGGTCCTTCCTACAAAATGTTTGTCATAGGCTGTAGCACCCATTACGAACTTCGAATACGAAATTTAAAGCAATTCCGGTGAATAATGTCGCTAAAATCATCGAAATACTAAATATCCAGAGGTACCGTTTCATAGGAGCTATACGAAGACGTGGACCTGAATACGAAATTTTTTTCAATAGATTGTAGTAACCATTAAGATCTCCCATTACGAAATTTGAAACGATTCCGGTAAATAATGTCGCTAAAATCATGAAAATACCGAATATCGGGAGGTGCCGTTTTAATAGGAGCTATACGAAGTGGACCTGCATACGTATTTTTTTGTCCATAGGTTGTAGTAACCATTAAGATCTCCCGTTACGAAATTTGAAAATATTCCGGTGAATAATGTCACTAAAATCATCAAAATACTGAAAATGGGGAGGGGGTACCTTTATATAGGGGCTATACGAAAACGTGGACCTGCATATAAAAATTTTTATCATAGGCTATTGTACCCATTACGAACTTTAAATATGAAATTTTAAATAATTCCGGTAAATAATGTCGCTGAAATCAAGAAAATACTGAATAGCGGGAGGTATCGTTACATGAGGGTTATACGAAAACGTGGACCGACACGACCCATTTACGAACTTATCCTGCCTACTGGTAAACTATGCATGTATTCAAAATTTTAGCCTTGTATCCTAAATCGTGATAGCGTGATTACAACAGACAGACGGACAGGCGGACATCGCTGGATCATCTTAAAATTTTACGCTGATCCAGAATAAATATACTTTGTAGGGTCTATTATGAATATTTCGAGGAGTTACAAGCGGAATGACAAAGTTAATATACTCTCGAACCTACCTGTTTTTTACCTTTTTATTTTCTTAAAATTCAAATTTATAGCCCTGATGGTCTTTGAAAAAATATGCCTTAAAAATCTACGTTTCTAGCCCTCATAATTAACCTTTTCAAATTGGATGGTAACTCAAAATATGTTTTTGGAAAATGCACGTTTATAGCCTTGATGGTCCTTAAAAAAATTGCTTTAAATATCCACGTTTCGGGCTTTGATGGTCGTTGATAAAATATTCTTTAAAAAAAAATTTTTTAAAATACACGTTTCTCGACCTGACGGACTTAAAAAAAAATCTTTAAAAATGCAAGTTTCCGCCCCTTAAATCAACGTTTTTGGTCCTGACGATCTTCGAATAAATATTCTTTAAAAATCCACATTTTTAGCACTGATTGTCCGTCAATTTTTTTTAAAACCCACGTTTTTTGTCCTGACGATCTTCGAATAAATATTCTTTCAAAATCCAAATTTCTAGCCCTGATGATCCGCCAAAAATTGTTCTTTAAAAATCCAAATTTCTAGCCCTGATGGTCCGACAAAAAATTTTCTAGTCCTAATGGTCCGTCAAAAAAATTTCTTTAAAAATCCACGTTTCTGGTCCTGACAATCTTCGAAAAAATGTTCTTTAAAAATCCAAATTTCTAGCCCTGATGGTCCGACAAAAAATTTTCTTTAAAAATCCACGTTTCTGTAGCTGACGATCTTCGATATTTTTTTTTTTTAAATCCACATTTCTAGACCTGATGGTCCGTCAAAAAATATGGCAATCTTCGAAAAAATTTTCTTTAAAAATCCACGTTTCTGGTCCTAACAAACTTCGAAAAAATGTTCTTTAAAAATCCAAATTTCTAGCCCGATGGTCCGACAAAAATTTTTCTTTAAAAATCCAAATTTCTAGCCCTGATGGTCCGACAAAAAATTTTCTTTAAAAATCCACGTTTCTGGACCTGACGATCTTCGATTTTTTTTTTAAATCCACATTTCTAAACCTGATGGTCCGTCAAAAAATATTCTTTAAAAATCCACGTTTCTAGCCCTGATAATCCACTTGATGAGGATGGTACCTCAAAATATGTTATTTGAAATTCACGTTTCTGGCCCTGACGGTCCTCAAAAAATTTTCTTTACAAATCCTAGTTTCTAGCTTTGATAATCTTTCAAAGAAAATTTCTTTAAAAATCCACGTTTCAAACTCCGATGGTCTTTGAAAAAATATTCTTTAAAAATTCAAGTTTCTAGCTTCGATGGTTTTTGAAAAAAATATTCTATGGAAATTGAAGTTTTTAAGCTCTGATGCTCTTTGAAAAATTTCACGTTTTTAGCTCAGATGGTCCTTCAAAAAATATTCTTTAAAAATCCACATTTCTAGCTATGATGGCCTTTAAAAAAAAATTCTTTAAAAATCCACGTTTCTAGCTTGGATTGTCCCTCAAAAAATATTCTATGAAAATCCACGTTCAAAGCACTGATGGTAGTTGAAAAATATTCTTAAGATATCCAAGATGGTCCTTCTTAAAAATCCAGATTTAGGGTCTATATGGCCCTGCAAAAACAATTCTCGAAAAATGAGACCTGACAATGATGTTGCTTCTTAAAATATTCTTTAAAAATCCACGTCCATTTGGTCCAGAAAAAAATATTCCTTTAAAATGCACGTTTATGATCCTTATGGTCCATCTTAAAATATAATTTAAAAGTTCTGGGTTATAGCTGTCATGGTCCTTAAGAAATTTTTCTTTAAAACTTCACGTTTATAGCCTTTGTTAAAATACTTTTTAAAATAACATAGTTATAGTCCTATTGGACCTTGAATTTTTTTTTTAAATACAGACTTATAGCTCCTTTAGTCCTCCTTAGTTTATTCTCTAAAAAATCTGACGGCCCATCTAAAACTATTCTATAAAAATTCACATTTATAGCGCTGATGACCCCTCAAAAAATATTCTTTAAATATCTATTTATAGCCCTCGAAAAATATTCATTATTACCTTAAAATTAAAGGGCGATGTTTGTGGCTGTAATGTACCTTCTTAAAATATAATCATTTCGAGCCCTTGTGGTCCTTGAACAATTTTGGCTTTGGGTAATTATTTTGACTTTAGACAGAAGTATGCCTAGTCCTGGTATTAATATTCCAAACATCTCAATAAGTGACCCGCATTTCCATTATCCAAATATAACTTACAGCCTTGTCATTATCGCCGTACAAACTTTCCTAATTGCATTTGCTGTTCACCAACCGTCACTTGTCAAACACTTGTGAATGGGGTCAATATCCATTTGTTATGCTCCGAATGTTGCGATAATTCATATCTATTTGAAATGTGTATCTGCTCGTAGGTAGTTGATTGCAGCGGCACCAGCAGCAGCAGCAGTTGCGATTTATGTTTGCTTTCAATATTGCAAAACATTGGCAATCGCGCTGGTGCCAACCCTCAGCAGCCCAGCTAAGTTCTAAAACTAAGCCAGAAACCGCCCAAGCTCTTTTATTTTAATGAAGACTAATGGTCTGGAGGTTGGCTAGGTGGGTATTAAGACCAACCAACCAACCAACCAGCCAGCCACCCAACCAACCAATCATTATAGCGGCCTACCATTCTTCAGCTTCAGCTGACTGGGAAGCTGTGGAAGCTGTGATTTACTTAAACAAAAAGAAAACAACAACAGAAAATAATTACCTGGATATTGCTGTGGCTTTGGATGTGGCAGCAATGAGTAGTGCGTTGCGTTGCTTGACTGGGCTGGGCTGGGCCTGGTTTGATGATGTCTTTGCAGGAATCGTATCTTTTGGGGGAAGGAAACTCGTCGTTGTTGTGGTTCTTCTTCTTGTCGTGTTTAAATCCTCTGGTGTTGTTGATGACGCTGCTCCTGCTGCTGCTGATGATGAGATTCTTATGAATGTTTTTCACTGGAAAACCAACAGTAACAACAACAACAAGGACACCAGCGTGGAAAAGCTAACAACATTTTCATTTTGAACGGCAAAGTTGGGCTGCACCTTGAGGCAAATTTTGAACTTTCTACTCCTGTTCGACTCCTTGCTATCCTTATGACGTTAAGGGATATTGTAGCTGTTATTATCCCTGTTCCTGGGTGGGGGATTGAAATTAAAATACCGGAAGGAAGGATGGAGCACGAAATATGCGTGAGTGGGGAGCGTGGGTTTGTATTTTTATATTAATTTGAGAGTTATTTTCTATTTTCTTATTTTGTTTTGCTTTTCTGTTGAGGGAAGAGAGAAGACAACTTTAAGGTTTTATAGACGTCAATGGTACACACACACATGGTCACAAGGCGCAACCGAAAACAGCAAAAGGACACAGCACACAAAATCGATTTTTCACATTTGGTATTTGCTCACACGTATGTTCCGCTGTGTGTATGTGTGTGTGTGACCAACAATCTACACAACTACCGTCGTTGTTAACACACTCTTCTTCTTTGTAGTCCTTTTTTTGGATTTCTTTTCTGTTTTCGGTTCCGTGTTGTTATTTTTTGATTTATATTTTGTTTTTTTTTCTATTGTTGTTATTTTTAGAATTTGTTAAACGACGCCGTTTTTCTTTTGACTTTTTTCCAAGACTTGTTTGACGTGTACGCGTTTCCAGCGTTGGCGTTTATTTTTCTTTCCCTTTTCACCGTTAAGCAACAATCTGAATTACAATGTGTGTGTGTGTACTATTTTTATTTCTTGATTTAATTGAATTTAATTAAATTTGATTAGAGCCTGGCCTGCTTGAGCTGTTGAATTGTAACACATTCCCCTAAACAGTGACGATAAGAAGTTTACGTATGGATCTTTTATGAATTTTTGGATTTTCTACATAGCCTACAAATAGAAAATTCCTTAAGAAATCACGGTTTTTCTTGAAATATATGACTGAAAAATATTCTTAAAAATCTACATGCCCTGAAGCTGGATTCTTGTTCTATGAAAATATGAAATGAGAAATATTTCCTTTATAATATTTTTATTTCACATTTCTTTCCTCTATAAAAGTTTTCATTTCACATTTTCACAGAACAAGAATTGAGGCCCTGATGTTGCATGAAAAATATATTCCTTGAAAATCCACTCCCTCACAAAATCATCTTTGAAAATCTAAGTATCTGACCCTGATGTTGCTTGAAAAAAAATATTCTTTGAAAATCCACTCCCTCACAAAATATTTTTTAAAAATTCAAGTTTCTGGCCTTGATAGTCCTTCAAAAAATATTATATAAAAATCCACTCCCTCACAAAATATATAAATATTAAAAAATCCAAAGTTTTGGCCCTTATGGTCCCTTAAAAAATATTCTTTCAAAATCCAGGTTTATAGCCCTGATGGCCTCTTAAAAATACCCTTTAAAAATCTACGTTTGTTCCTCAAAAAATATTCTTCAAAAATCCACGTTTGTTCCCTCGAAGAATATTCTTCAAAAATCCACGTTTGTAGCCATGATGGTTCCTCAAAAAATATTCTTCGAAAATCCACGTTTATAGCCCTGATGGTCCCTCAAAAAGTATTCTTTAAAATTTCACGTTTCTAGCTCTGATGGTCCCTCAAAAAATATTCTTCAAAAATCCACGTTTATGGTCCTGATGATTCTTCAAAAAATAATCTCTAAAAATCACGTTTATGGTCTTGATGGTCCCTCAAAAAAAAATCTCTAAAAATCACGTTTATGGTCTTGATGGTCCCTCAAAAAAGAATCTCTAAAAATCCACGTTTATGACCTTAAAAAAGAATCTCTAAAAATCCACGTTTATGGCCCTTAAAAAAGAATCTCTAAAAATCCACGTTTATGGCCCTTAAAAAAGAATCTCTAAAAATCCACGTTTATGGCCCTTAAAAAAGAATCTTTAAAATCCACGTTTATGGACCTGATGGTCCCTCAAAAAGAAGTCTCTAAAAATCACGTTTATGGTCCTGATGGTCCTCAAAAAAGAATCTCTAAAAATCCGCGTTTATGACCTTCCAAAAATAATGTCTAAAAATCCATGTTTATAGCCCTGATGGTTCTTCAAAAAATAATCTCTAAATATCACGTTTATGACCCTGATGGTCCCTCCAAAAAGAATCTCTAAAAATCCACGTTTTTAGCCCTTAAAAAATCTCTAAAAATCCACGTTTATGAACTTCAAAAAATAATCTCTAAAAATCCATGTTTATTACCCTAATGATCCCTCAAAAAACATTCTTTGAAAATCCACGTTTCTAGCTCAGATGGTACCTCAAAAAATATTATTTAAAAATACGCATTTCTAGCTCGGATGGTCCTTCAAAAATATTCTTTAAACATCCACACCCCTTGGTTGGAAGGTCCTTCAGAAAATAATCTTTAAAAGTCCACACTTCTAGCTTAAAAGGTCCTTCAAAAAATATTTTTTTTTAAAAATCCACGTTTCTAATTTGAAAGGTCCTTAAAAAAATATTCTTTAAAAATCCACGTTTCTATCTTGGAAGGTCCTTCAAAAAATATTCTTTAAAAATCTACGTTTCTATCTTGGAAGGTCCTTCAAAAAATATTCTTTAAAAATCCACGTTTCTATCTTGGAAGGTCCTTCAAAAAATATTCTTTAAAAATCCACATTTCTAGCTTGGAAGGTCCTTCAAAAAATATTCTTTATAAATCCACGGTTCTAACTTGGAAGGTCCTTCAAAAAATATTCTTTAAAAATCCACGTTTCTAGCTTGGAAGGTCCTGCAAAAAATATTCTTTGAAAATCCACGTTTCTAGCTTGGAAGGTCCTGCAAAAAAAATTTTAAAAAATCCACGTTTCTAGCTTGGAAGGTCCTGCAAAAAATATTCTTTAAAAATCCACGTTTCTAGCTTGGAAGGTACTGCAAAAAATATTCTTTAAAAATCCACGTTTCTAGCTTGGAAGGTACTGCAAAAAATATTCTTTAAAAATCCACGTTTCTAGCTTGGAAGGTCCTGCAAAAAATATTCTTTAAAAATCCACGTTTCTAGCTTGGAAGGTCCTGCAAAAAATATTCTTTAAAAATCCACGTTTCTAGCTTGGAAGGTCCTGCAAAAAATATTCTTTAAAAATCCACGTTTCTAGCTTGGAAGGTCCTGCAAAAAATATTCTTTAAAAATCCACGTTTCTAGCTTGGAAGGTCCTGCAAAAAATATTCTTTAAAAATCCACGTTTATGGCCTTGATGGTCCCTCAAAAAAACATTCTTAGAAACTCCAGGTTTCTATCTTGAAAGGTCATGCAAAAAATATTCTTTGAAAATCCACGTTTATTAAAAATCCTTGTTTCTAGCTTAGAAGGTTATTCAAAAACTATTTTGTAAAAATCCGCGCTTATAGACCTAATGTGGTCAAAAAAATATTATTTAAAAATGATGGTCCCTCAAAAAATATTCTTTAAAAACTCAAGTTTCTAGCTTGGAAGGTCCTTCATAAATAATCTTCAAAAACTCACGTTTCTGGCTTGGAAGTTCCTTCAAAAAATATTCTTTGAAAATCCACGTATCTACCTCGGAAGGTCCTGCAAAAAATATTCTTTAAAAATCCACGTTTCTATCTTGGAAGGTCCTTCAAAAAATATTTTTTGAAAATCCATGTTTCTAGCTTGGAAGGTCCTTCAAAAAATATTCTTTAAAAATCCTCGCTTGGAAGGTCCTGCAAAAACAATTCCTTAAAAACCCACATTTCTAGGTTGGAAGGTCCTTCAAAAAATATTCTTTAAAAATCTACGTTTCTGGCTACGTTTCAAAAACAATCTTTGAAAATCCACGTTTCTAGCTTGGAAGGTTCCTCAAAAAATATTCTTTAAAAATTCCACGTTTATAGCCCTGATGGTCCCTCCAAAAATATTCTTTAAAATTCCACGTTTATGGCCCTGATGGTTTCTCAAAAAATATTCTTTAAAAATCCACGCTTCTAACTTGGAAGCGCCTTCAATAAGCCCCGTTTCTCTAATTCGGAACACTTTACGAATATATAAGTTCAATAAATTTTTCCTTCTTCAATATCTAAAATAAAAATGTCCTGGAAAGTAGACTTTTATTGCCCACAATATTTTAATGTTTATTATAATTGTATATATGTACGTACATTCGTACATACATATGTAAATACGTATGTATATATATAGGCAGTACATAGGTATTTCAGTACACGTAATATTTGGTTGGTGCAACAGAACTAGAACATATGTAAGGCACCAAAAAAGAACCACCTCCTTATCCTCTTTCTATACACACAAAATGATTTTCTTCACTAATTTTCTTTCACTGCAATTGAGGATTTTTCTTATTCTTCTTGGGTAGCGGAACTTCCGGGTTATGCTATTAAGTTTCCGGTGGTGTTGCTGAAAGTTTGAAATGAAGGAATGTGATGAGATCGTGTTGAATGGATGGTAGCTCTCTCGGTCGGTCGGTCGGTTTTTTTTTTTTTCAAAGTACACAAGATTATTTGTTTTTGTTGCAGCACATTTAAGATAATTTTCTTCCATTTATTTTAATGGGGGAAAATTGGGAGGGCCATAGCAAAATTTTGGGTCTACGAAATTTAAGCTGTTTTTCTTGGCAAATTTTCTTTAACGAAACACACACTTTTTCGGTTATCTATAAGATGCTTTTACATATATTTTTTTTCTTATATGTTTGTACACAAACACACGCACATACCTACATTTCTAAATACTTTGCCATAGAACGGCCCCGACACACGCACATGCACCGACAGACACCATGTGCAGGAAAAACCGAAATGTTGTCACACACAATTTTCACAAGACTCTTTTCCTTCTTCTTCTTCTTTTTTATTTCTTTAAGATTTTATTTTTGATTTATAGGTATTTTCCATTTTTCTTGTTGTTGTTGTAGACACTTTCGAACATTTTGTGTGTGGGTTGGGGTGACGGTAGGCTTGCTTATTTGCACTATCCCGAAATATGTATCAAAAAAAAAACATAGACCAAAATTTTTCTTTAAATTGGGAAATGACTTGTCAGAGACGTTTTCTTTTGGGTCGCAAGCGAAAAAAATTAAAGAAGTAAAAAAAACCGATTCGCCAGCAACAAATCGACTAAGATGTTTAATTTTTTTGTATACGAAAGAAATTGTGTCGAGAAAGACGTGTGCGAACTCCAAAGTGAGTGGAGAGTCGTGGAGCAGCCGTCCCAACTAACACGCTGTGATGATTGTCATTCGTGAGTGGTGTTTGTTTGTTATTTCACGGAGTGTTTATTTGTTTGAATTCGCTTTTAGTCGATTTGTCTGTCCGCCCGTTTTGTTGTTATTATTATTAATTTTTTTGTGACTAAAACTGTTTGTTGTTGTCCGCCGTTAACGCTGCCGCACTTTCTTATTGGACCAAACAACCGTTTCGCTGTGTCTGACTTAACTAAACCGACTGACTCAAAAAATGAATGTATCTGCCAGATACATTTTGTGTCTGTGCACCTTTCTTTCTTCTGCTGTTTGGTTGTTGTTGGTTGGTTGGCTGGTTGTTGTTGTTTCGGCCTCTCTGTCTCGATTTCGGCTCGTTTCATTTCGTTTCGTTTATGCGAAATTCAAAGCAAAACAAATAGAAATACTCATACGCCGCCTTTTGCTTGCACATGAATTGATTGACAACGACCACGCTCGCATTACAATAATACAGTGGAGGGCATAAGTTAAGTAATATTTCTCACTGGAGCAAGTAGCTGCATATTTTTTAAGGGTTGCCATAATCGTGGGTTTTTTGAGAATATACTCTTACAATGTGTAACATTTTAATTACAAACGAATATTTTTTGAGGGACCACCAGGGCTAGAAACGAGGATTTTAAAAGAATATTTTTGAGGGATAATCAGGGCCAGAAACGTGGATTTTTAAAGAATATTTTTGAGGGATAATCAGGGCCAGAAACGTGGATTTTTAAAGAACATTTTTGAGGGATAATCAGGGCCAGAAACTTGGATTTTTTAAGAATATTTTTTCTAAGGCCATCAGGGACAGAAACGTGGATTTTTTAAGAAAATTTTTTCTAAGGCCATCAGGGACAGAAACGTGGATTTTTAAAGAATATTTTTTGAGGGACCATCGGACCTAGAAACGTGGATTTTTAAAGAATATTTTTCGAGGGACCATCGGACCTAGAAACGTGGATTTTTAAGGATATTTTTTGATGGACCATCGGACCTAGAAACGTGGATTTTTAAAGAATATTTTTTGGGGGACCATCGGACCTAGAAACGTGGATTTTTAAAGAATATTTTTTCAAAGACCATCGGACCTAGAAACGTGGATTTTTAAAGAATATTTTTTGAGGGACCATCGGACCTAGAAACGTGGATTTTTAAAGAATATTTTTTGAGGGACCATCGGACCTAGAAAGTGGATTTTTAAAGAAATTTTTTTGAAGACCGTCAGCACCAGAAACGTAGATTATTAAAGAAATTTTTTTGAAGACCGTCAGCACCAGAAACGTGGATTTTTAAAGAAATTTTTTTGAGGGTCCATCTGAACCAGAAACGTGGATTTTAAAGAATATTTTTTGAGGGTCCATCTGAACCAGAAACGTGGATTTTTAAAGAATATTTTTTGAGGGTCCATTTGAACCAGAAACGTGGATTTTTAAAGAATATTTTTTGAGGGTCCATCTGAACCAGAAACATGGATTTTTAAAGAACATTTTTCGAAGACCGTCAGGACCAGAAACGTAGATTTTTAAAGAATAATTTTTCAAAGGCCATCAAGCCAGAAACGTGGATTTTTAAAGAATATTTTTTGAGGGTCCATCTGAACCAGAAACGTGGATTTTTAAAGAATATTTTTTGAGGGTCCATCTGAACCAGAAACGTGGATTTTTAAAGAATATTTTTTGAGGGTCCATCTGAACCAGAAACGTGGATTTTTAAAGAATATTTTTTGAGGGTCCATCTGAACCAGAAACGTGGATTTTTAAAGAATATTTTTTGAGGGTCCATCTGAACCAGAAACGTGGATTTTTAAAGAATATTTTTTGAGGGTCCATCTGAACCAGAAACGTGGATTTTTAAAGAATATTTTTTGAGGGTCCATCAAAGCCAGAAACGTCGATTTACAAAGAATTATTTTTTTAAAGACAGTCAGCTCCAGAAACGTGGATTTTCGAAGAATATTTTTTGAGGGTCCATCTGAACCAGAAACGTGGATTTTTAAAGAATATTTTTTGAGGAACCAACTGAACAAAAACATGGATTTTCAAAGAATATTTTTTGAGGGACCAACTGAACAAAAACATGGATTTTCAAAGAATATTTTTTGAGGGACCAACTGAACAAAAACATGGATTTTCAAAGAATATTTTTTGAGGGACCAACTGAACAAAAACATGGATTTTCAAAGAATATTTTTTGAGGGACCAACTGAACAAAAACATGGATTTTCAAAGAATATTTTTTGAAACGTCGACTTATTAAGAAGATTTTTTTGAGAGGACGTCAGGGCCAGAAACGTGGATTTTTAAAGAATATTTTTTAAGGGATTTTCGAAGAATATTTTTTGAGAGACCATCTAAACCAGAAACTGGATTTTCAAAGAATATTTTTTGAGGGACCAACTGAACAAAAACATGGATTTTCAAAGAATATTTTTTGAAACGTCGACTTCTTAAGAAGATTTTTTTGAGAGGACGTCAGGGCCAGAAACGTGGATTTTTAAAGAATATTTTTTGAGAGACCATCGGGGCCAGGAACGTCCATTTTTAAAGAATATTTTTTGAGAGACCATCGGACCTAGAAACGTGGATTTTTAAGGATATTTTTTGATGGACCATCGGACCTAGAAACGTGGATTTTTAAAGAATATTTTTTGGGGGACCATCGGACCCTTTTTAAAGAATATTTTTTCAAAGACCATCGGACCTAGAAACGTGGATTTTTAAAGAATATTTTTTGAGGGACCATCGGACCTAGAAACGTGGATTTTTAAAGAATATTTTTTGAGGGACCATCGGACCTAGAAACGTGGATTTTTAAAGAAATTTTTTTGAAGACCGTCAGCACCAGAAACGTAGATTATTAAAGAAATTTTTTTGAAGACCGTCAGCACCAGAAACGTGGATTTTTAAAGAATATTTTTTGAGGGTCCATCTGAACCAGAAACGTGGATTTTAAAGAATATTTTTTGAGGGTCCATCTGAACCAGAAACGTGGATTTTTAAAGAATATTTTTTGAGGGTCCATCTGAACCAGAAACATGGATTTTTAAAGAACATTTTTCGAAGACCGTCAGGACCAGAAACGTAGATTTTTAAAGAATAATTTTTCAAAGGCCATCAAGCCAGAAACGTGGATTTTTAAAGAATATTTTTTGAGGGTCCATCTGAACCAGAAACGTGGATTTTTAAAGAATATTTTTTGAGGGTCCATCTGAACCAGAAACGTGGATTTTTAAAGAATATTTTTTGAGGGTCCATCTGAACCAGAAACGTGGATTTTTAAAGAATATTTTTTGAGGGTCCATCTGAACCAGAAACGTGGATTTTTAAAGAATATTTTTTGAGGGTCCATCTGAACCAGAAACGTGGATTTTTAAAGAATATTTTTTGAGGGTCCATCTGAACCAGAAACGTGGATTTTTAAAGAATATTTTTTGAGGGTCCATCTGAACCAGAAACGTGGATTTTTAAAGAATATTTTTTGAGGGTCCATCTGAACCAGAAACGTGGATTTTTAAAGAATATTTTTTGAGGGTCCATCTGAACCAGAAACGTGGATTTTTAAAGAATATTTTTTGAGGGTCCATCAAAGCCAGAAACGTCGATTTACAAAGAATTATTTTTTTAAAGACAGTCAGCTCCAGAAACGTGGATTTTCGAAGAATATTTTTTGAGGGTCCATCTGAACCAGAAACGTGGATTTTTAAAGAATATTTTTTGAGGGACCAACTGAACAAAAACATGGATTTTCAAAGAATATTTTTTGAGGGACCAACTGAACAAAAACATGGATTTTCAAAGAATATTTTTTGAAACGTCGACTTCTTAAGAAGATTTTTTTGAGAGGACGTCAGGGCCAGAAACGTGGATTTTTAAAGAATATTTTTTAAGGGATTTTCGAAGAATATTTTTTGAGAGACCATCTAAACCAGAAACTGGATTTTCAAAGAATATTTTTTGAGGGACCAACTGAACAAAAACATGGATTTTCAAAGAATATTTTTTGAAACGTCGACTTCTTAAGAAGATTTTTTTGAGAGGACGTCAGGGCCAGAAACGTGGATTTTTAAAGAATATTTTTTGAGAGACCATCGGGGCCAGGAACGTCGATTTTTAAAGAATATTTTTTGAGAGACCATCGGGGCCAGGAACGTCGATTTTGTAAGAATATTTTTTAAAGAGACCATCAGGACCAAAAACATGGGCTTTGTGCTGAATCTAAGTTTTATAAGGAATCATTTTTTAAATCGTGATTTCTAAAAAATGTTGTGAATATTTCTAAAAATATTGGTTAGAATCAAATAACAATAGAAATGGCAACTCTGTCTGCCCCTTTTCATTAATGAAACACAACATATCTATTATGCGCTATATGCGCAAACTCATGTTGCATTTGTTTGCTCCCCTATTAGCACATGCTCTCCCATTGATTCAACTAAAATGTATCTCTCTACTCGCAAAATTATCTATTTTTCTCTCCGAGAGTGCTACAATTCTTTTTGTTTTGAAATTCTTGTTCTTCGATGTGTAACATGGCACAAGAACATCCAAACACCCCCATAAAAAGTACAAAACGTTTCGGTTAATTTTTGTTTTTAAAAATTAATTTTGAAGTGACATTTCATTGGTGGTTGCTTGGTTGCTGTGAGAAAGTCTTGATGTTCTCTCCAACTCTCTTTGAGCTTCTCATTAATTTTATGACACATGTTAATTGTGACTTTTGTTTTTGTTTTCGAAACGCCACTTTGAAGTTTATCTGTTGACAGAGTGGATAAAAACTCAGCCAGCTGGAATGCCTGCCGCCTCCCCATGTCATGGTGTGCCTGTCTATCTGGTCAAGTGGCTTGCTTTAACAACCATTGGGGAAACATTATTTCTTCGCTAGCTAATTAATTCCGAACATTTTATGAATGAATTTCAATTGTTGGATTTTTATTAATGAAATTCAAAATGCTATTAGGCGTAACGGTAACTTACACTGTTATTGCTGTTGGGCATTGCAACTCTGTTCAAAGTTGTGTGACTGCTGCATGTAACGTTTTTAACAGGGGGTATGTATTTCGAATGGGGGATATACGACCGACTTATAAAACAGTGTCAATTGATGTAAAAAGTCGGATATTTCCATCCAGTAAGATAAAGTCGGACGAACATTAATAGATAGACACGAAATATTTTCAAACTGAGACCCTGACACCATGAATAATGCATTGAAGATATTCTCTTAAGCCCTGTACACAGTCCTTCTTGTGGCGGATATCGGAAAAACTGGCATTTGAAAAACATCAATAATTGTCGATGATTCCAGTTTTGAAGGTCGTCTGCGCTATTTATGCTTAGAGAAAAAGATATCCTCAAAATCCTTCAAAAGGTGTTAAAAATATACCTGGAAAGAAAATATTTAAAATGTATTTGCTGGCAAACAAGTAAAAAAACTGTACCATCCACCATTTGGAACGAAAAAATAAAATCCATTAAAAATTCTGGTTAAATCTTAAAAATACCGAATGTAGCCATTATATAAGGGTCTATACGACGATGTGGACCTGCATACGCAACTTATATCATAAGCCATTACAAACACAAATGCGAAACTGGAAAAAATCGGTGAATAATGGAGCTAAAATCATCAAAATACCGAATATAAGGAGGTACCGTTATATGGAGCCTATACGAAGACGTGGACCTGCACAGACAATTTTCTATCATAGGCTGTAGTATCCATTACGAACTTCAATTATCAAATTTGAAACAATTCCGGTGAATATTGTCGCTAAAATTATCAAAATACTGAATATCGGGAGGTACCGTTATATGGGGGCTATACGAAGACGTGGACCTGCACAGACAATTTTCTGTCATAGACTGTAGTATCCATTTCGAACTTCAAATACAACATTTGAGACAATTCCGGTGAATAATTTAGCTAAAATCATAAAAATACCGAATACCTGGAGGTACCGTTATGTGGGGGCTATACGAAGACGTGGATCTACATAGCCCATTTTCAATACCAAAAGTCCTGCAGATATAATATACATTTGAGTAAAATTTTATCAATCTACTGCAATTTGTTCGGAGTGATTTCCACAGACGGATAGATGGACCGACATCGCTAAATCGACATAGAATTTTATGCTGATCAAGAATATATATACTTTGTGGGGTCTAAAATGTTATTCGAGGTGTTACAAACGACATGAAAAACTTAATATACCCTCCATGCTATGGTGGAAGGTATAAAAATCACAATTTTTTTTTTGAATTCTTTTAAGGATTTCGTTCCGAAATCGTGGTTTTTTAAAAATTATTTTTCAAGGGCTTCCCAACCAAAGAAGTCGATGTTTAAAAATATTATTCAAAGTCTTTCCAACCAAGAATCGTGGATGTTGAAAAATATTTTTGAAGAACTTCTCAACCAAGAGTCGTGGATTTTTAAAGAGAAAATTATTTCAGAGAACTTAGAATCATGAATTAAAAAATAAGAAAATAAGAATGAAAATATGTCCTGACCAAGAGTCGTGAATTAAAAAAAGGACATGCTGGTCAAAAATTGTGGAGTTTTTCAAAAGATTCATCGAAGGCTTGTCAGGAATTGTGGATTTTTGAAAAAATATTTTTTGATGACAGAAGTACTTTTCAAACAAAAATCGCGGATTTTTTTAGGATAAAAATATTTCAAAGGACAAAATGGCTGTGAACCATGAGTAAAAAATATGAACAATAAAACTACGTCCGTGAATTCAAAAAAGGCCATCTTGGTCAAAAATTGTGGAGTTTTTCAAAATATTCTTCGAAGATTATTTGGTCGGGTATCATGGATTTTTGAAAAATTAGTTCTGACGACTTCGTAACCAGGAGTTTTTTTTTGGAATACTTACAAAGACTGAGTCCAAGAATGACGGATTTTTATACATTTCATATCGGTCGAAAAGGTCGAAATTTTTAAAAAATATATCTCTTAACCAGAAACTTGGGATAAATATGGATTTTATGATGAAGTTACCAATATAGACCAAGCCTGTGACGTCGCAATAATTATATCATTCCTTCAGAACCCACTCCACAGAGTATTTAGAGTTTATATAATCATAACAGAAGTCAAAATTTATTTAAATAATTGAACATTGGCTGAGAGTATATGTCTGTCAGAGCAGTCGGCAGAGCCGAATTCCTCAAGTTTTTATTTTTTTAAGAATCGTTGATTTTTTTTAATCGTGGATTTTTAAAAGAAATTTTCAAGGTATTTCTGGCCAACAATTGTGTCCCTTTTTAAAATTAGTTTTCGAGGACCTCCTGTACAAAACTTGGGGATTATATAAGATACAAGGACTTTATCGTGGATTATTTTAAAAATATTTTTTTGGATGGAGAAATCGTGTTTTGAACAATAAACATATCGTGAACTTTGTTAAAAGATTTCCTGGTTAAAAATTGTAAACTGTGAAATTTTTAAATAATTTTCAAGGACCTCCTTGTAGATTTTTGTGGTTCAAAAAAAAAAAAAGAGGACACATGAATCTTGATTTTTAGATAGAATGTCAAACTTGGTTTTTTATATTTATATAAGTCAAGATCATGATTTTTTTTAATATTATTGATGTGCTCCAGATCTGAAAAAATTTAAAAGTTTTTACAACGTTTTCAAATTTTTCTTTTATGCTACCAAAAAAACTAGTAGATTCTTATAGGTTCTGGAACGGAGCATTTATTTATTTTTTTTTTTTTCAAAAATATATAGAATATTTTAAATCCTATTTCTCAAAGTTCTTGGATCTTATTTAAAGTATCGCGAATTTTTACAAAAATATTTTTAAATACCGTGGATTATATTTACGAAATGTTGATTTCTAAGAACAGTTTTCTCAAAATATCAAATTATTAAAGAACAATTTTTGAATGAGGTCCTTAATTCAGGATTTTTATACCCCACACCACAAGGGTATTATGTCTTTGTGCATTTGTTTGTAAAAGGCAAAAGGAAACGAGATAGACCCATGGTTCCATTTGATGATTTGCATAGAATCACATTCGATTTATGTATATCCATCTGTCCGTCTGTCCGTCCGTCTGTCCATGTATTTTTGTGAACAAAGTACACATCGCATTTATTACCCGATACAGATGAAATTTTGCACAAATCATTTGTTTGGCCCAAGGAAGAACCCTATTTAAATTGGAGATAATCGGTAAAAATTTAGATATAGCTCCCATATTTATCTTCGTCCGATTTGCCTTTTATTGTGCACCAAACGTGTAATATCAGTCCGAATAGTATGGAATTTTGCACATACAACCAAATTAGGCCCGAAAATAAGTATGACAAATTTGATCGAAATCGGTTCAGATATAGCTATAGCTCCCATATATACTGTTCATCCGATTTGCTATTTTTGTCCTCCGCCGCCGTAATATGCACTCTGTAACAAAAATATTTGGGGAAATATATCAAATGCAGCTCAGAAATACCTTTGCTAAATTGTATCACGATCGGTTCAGATTTGGATATAGCTCCCATATATAACTTCGTCCTATTTACCTTTGATTGTGCACCAAACGTCTAATATTTGCCCAAAATGGGATGAAATTTGGCACTAACGACCGAATTGAGTCTAGAAGTTAGTATGCCAAATTTGGTGAAGATCGGTTCAGATATAGCTATAGCTCCCACATATATTGTTCATCCGTTTCGTTATATTTGTTACCCACAGCCGTAATATGCACTCCGTAACAACGATATTCAAGGAAATATATCAAATACAGATCAGAAATATCTTTGCCAAATTTTATCAAGATCGGTTCCGATTTGGATATAGCTCTCATATATATTTTTATCCGATTTCAAATTAATTGTGCACCAAATGTGCAATAGAAGTCCGAATTTAAAAATACAAATGCTTCGGCATATTTAGTCCTTTGAACTTTAAATTATAATTATAATCATAGCGTGTATGATTGAATTCTCCCATAAAAAGTTTAATTGTTATGCGCAGCTCTACTAAATTAGCAAAGTAGTGTAGGGTATCATAAAGTCGGCCCCGCCCGACTTTAAGACTTTCTTTACTGGTTTATATTTATATAAGTCAAGTAAAGTAAGTAAAAAAAAGTTAATAAAAAAAATCTTGATTTTTTATTTTTATTGCTATGCTCCAGATCTGCAAGAATCTAAAAGTTTTTACAACGTTTTCGGATTTTTCTTTTATGATATCAAAAAAAAGTGCAAAACTTGTAGGTTTTGGAACGGAGCATTTATTTTTTCTTTAAAAAATATGTAGAATATTTAAAAGCATATTTTTTAACGTTCTTGGATTTTATTTTAAGTATCGCGAATTTTTACAAAAATATTTTTAAATACCGTGTATTATAAGTATATCCTTTATATTTATGAAATTATTGATTTTTAAGAACGTTTTTCTAAAATATCGAATATTTTAAGAACAATTTTTGAATGAGGTCCTTAATTCAGAATATTTTTAATAAAAAATTTTCAACGATTTCTTTGTCAAAAATCGTTATTTTTCGAGGACTTTCTTTTTAAAAAGTCAGGCATTTGGTGTTTAAGACTTCCTGAGTATATATCTGTCGATGAACTGATTGTTTAATTTTTAATTGTTCTCGTCAGGTTATACATCTCCAATAAAATGCCAAACCAACATTTTACTGAGTAAATCAGTAGTATTTATTGCAAAAAGATTTATACAAGTACAATAAAAAAAACAAAACAAAAAACAATATTAATTAATGTAAATGTGGTAAATCAGTCATAGAGTCATTTTAATTTCCAATAGCGGCTACTTTTTCCGTTTCCTTTTTCACATAATCGGCATCGGCCAAATACTGAATATTGCCCACGCGCTGGCCACTCGACAGATCATATTCGAAGACGCAGGGGACACTGTTGGGTATGTTGACTTTCATGATGTCGTCATCGGAGATATCTAAAACACAAAATTACAATAAATCCTTTGAAAAAGAAAATGTGAATGGTTTTCCGCTTACTTTCAATATATTTCATGAGGGCCCGCACCACAGTACCATGGGCCACAACTAAAACCCTTTGGCCGTCGAGAACTTTTGGCATTATCTCCTGCTCCCACAGTGGTATAGCCCGCAACATGAGCGTTTTCAACGATTCCGTATCGGGAAATTTGTCCTTTGGTATATCTTTAAATTTCGGATTGTTACGTATTTTGGCATAGTAGGGATTATCGGGGGTTATCTCGGGTGGCAGGACATCGAATGAACGACGCCATATTTGTACCTGGGGAATATCAATAAAATAATTAATTTAAAACCAGTAAAGAAAGTCGGGCGGGGCCAACTTTATGGTACCCTACACCACTCTGCTAATTTAGTAGAGCTCGCCATAACAATTAAAAGTTTTAATAGGAGAATTCAATCATACACGCTATGATTATAATTATAATTTAAAGTTCAAAGGCCTAAATATGCCGAAGCATTTGTATTTTTAAATTCGGACTTGTATTGCCCATTTGATATATATGGGAGCTATATCCCAATCTGAACCGATCTCGATAAAATTTGGCAAAGATATTTTTTAGCTGTGTTCGATATATTTCCCTGAATATCGTTGTTACGGAGTGCATATTACGGCTGTGGGTAACAAATATAACAAATCGGATGAACAGTATATATGGGAGCTATAGCTATATCTGAACCGATATTCACCAAATTTGACATACTGGCGTCTAGACTCAATTCGATCGTAAGTGCCAAATTTGGGCAAATATTAGACGTTTGGTGCACAATCAAAGGTAAATCGGGCGAAGTTATATTTAGGAGCTATATCCAAATCTGAACCGATCGTGATAAAATTTAGCAAATGTATTTCTGAGCTGTATTTGATATATTTCCCCAAATATTGTTGTTACAGAGTGTATATTACGGCTGCGGAGGACAAAAATAACAAATCGGATGAACAATATATATGGGAGCTATAGCTATATCTGAACCGATTTCGATCAAATTTGGCATACTTATTTTCAGGTCCAATCTGATCGTATATGCAAAATTCCATACTATTCGGACTGATATTACACGTTTGGTGCACAATAAAGGCAAATCGGACGAAGATATATATGGGAGCTATATCTAAATTTTGACCGATTATCTCCAGTTTCAATAGGGTTCGTCCTTGGATCAAACAAATATTCTTTGAAAAATTTCATCTCAATCGGACTGTCATGCATAAATCAACTCAGAAAGTGATTCTATGAAGATCCTCAAAAGCAACTATATCTCGCTCCCTTCGCCATGTTACAAAAAAAGTACACAAAGACATAACACCCTTACCCCTTTGTGGTGTAGGATATAATTAAAAGGCATTTTGTATTGAGTTCCACTTACTTTTTCCTCGCCATATTTGTTGGCCACCTGACGTTTATTGAACCCTGTCAAATTGCCGTAGTGTCGTTCATTTAAACGCCAGTCATAGATCACTGGAACATCGTGGTATTTGAGGTTCTCCCTTATCACATCGACGGTTTGATGGGCCCGCTGCAGTAATGATGTGTAAATGACATCGAACTGCATCCGATGTTGGCGTAGACCAGCTACAGCTATTTTCGAGGCATCTTCGAGACCTAAATGAGAAAGAAAATTAAACGAAAATGAAGGTTTGGATTTATAAAAATCAGTCGGGTCGGGGGACTTGATATACCCTTTGGTGACCAAAAAGAGAATAAACAAGTAAAATAGCTGTAAGTTCGGCCGGGCCGAACTTTTAGTACCCTCCACCATTTGATACAAATTTCGCAATTTTCAAAAAAATAAAATCCGTTAAAAATTCTGTTAAGGTCTATACGACCACGTAGACCTGCATAGGCGAGTTTTGTCACAAGCTATTACAATATTCAAATGCGAAACTTGAAAAAAATCTGTTTATAATGTACCTTAAAATCATAAAAAAACCGAATATAGGGAGGTACCATGGGGGTTATAAAACGTGAACCTGTACAGGCAATTTTCTGTCTTAGGAGGTAGTATCCTTTACGAATTTCAAATACCAAATTTGAAACAATTCTGGTAAATAATGTCGCTAAAATCATCTAAATACCGAATACCGGGGGGTGGGGGGAGGGGGATAACGTTCTATGGAGGCTATACGAAGACTTGGACCTGCACAGACAATTTTTTGTCATAGGCTGTAGTATTCATTACGAACTTTAAATACTAAATTTGAAATAGTTCCGGTAAATAATGTCTCTAAAATCATCAAAATACCCAATATAGGGAGGTACCGTTATATGGGAGCTATACGAAGACGTGGACCTACATGGCCCATTTTCAATATCAAAAATCCTGCAGACATAATACACATTTGAGTACAATTTTATCAACCGACGTCATTTTGTTCGGAAGCGAGAGTGATTTCCACAGACGGACAGATGTCCGGCATAGAATTTTATGCTGATCAAGAATATATATATAATTTGTGGGGTCTAAAATGTATATTTCGAGGTGTTACAAACGGAATGACAAACTTAATATAGCCTCCATACTATGGTGGAGGGTATAAAAAAAACGCATGAGACTGAAGAAGAGAGTATTTGCATGTTAGGGTATGTGTGGAACCCTTGTATATTCCATTACTTTAAGGACCTTTTGAGCCAAACAACAATCCCTTCAGATTATTTGTGTGAACCAACGGTTCCTTGTATCTTTAAGTCTTGAATATAACAATAACTAATTTTTCCCTTTCACCCCTTCACCATGCTTCCTCTTACCTTTATCCGTCAGTGGAGCATCATGCCAGCCGCAGAATAGATTCAATTTGTTGAATTCACTTTCGCCATGGCGTAAAATCACCACTTTATTTGTTTTCATTGTTGTTGGCGTTGATGTTGCTGTTGTTGCAGTTGCTGTTGCTTTTTGTAGAATTACTTGATTACACTTCCGATTGATGACTCGGACAATTGGTCAAGACAGATAAAACAAATGGATGTATTTTATTGTTGGAATTGTACTTTGGTTACTTTTGTTGGAGTTACAGTTTTTTTCTGTTTTTTTTTTTGGTTTTGTTGTACTGACAGTTGTGGTAACCGTTTGAAAACTGAAATACATCAACGAGAAAAGAACGTTAATTTCAAAAAAAAAAAAAAAATGAAAGAAAAACAAAACGTTGAAAACAAAACAAAGCAGGCAAAGAAAATTTTCCAAGTGTGTGAAATATGTGTGAAAATGGGAAGAAATAATTGAAAATTGCAAACAACACCAACAATGCATTTGTGATATCGGCTGCAAACAAATAGATATTGTATACATATGTCCGTATGTGTGTACATATATTGAAACTAATGGCACCTAATGTTGTGATTTGTACGAGGAATGAGAGCAAAGTTGGTTATGATGAATGGAAGCTGATAAAATTAAGATGGTAAAGTCATTTCAAATAACCATACCCATCTCTGCATTTTTATACCCTACACCACAAGGTTATCAGGGTATTATGTCTTTGTGCATTTATTTGTAACAGGCAAAAGGTAACGAGATAGAACCATAGTTCCTTTTGATGATCTGCATAGAATCACATTCTGAGTCGATCTATGCATGTTCGTCCAAGTTCGTCAATGGTACAATAAAAAGGTAAGGTAGAGCTGCCAGCTGATCACAATTTATTTTCTGAGTGTGCCCGACTTGTGCCAATTTTGTGTATGTACTCATGGTACAATCATGGTACAATGATATCAAGGTAGGGCTATGATACCATATGATTTTAATTTTTTTTATTTTCTTGGCTTAATATGTCATCTTTATTTGTTTATGTATGTGTTTTCTTTTCAATAACAAAAAAATTGTACAGAAAATCTTCAAATTTGGATGTTTTTATTTCAACGTATGCATCGACAAAATCTAGAGTTTTTGTAGCGAAATAATCCTTTAGAGATATGTAGTACATGATTTTGAAAAGAAGTGTTGACCTTTCAATCAGTTATCGCGGTTTTCAATTATCTATTCAAAATAAATGCAATGCTTAATATGTAAGCCAAGAAAATAAAAAAATTAAAATCATATGGTAGTTCTGTCCTACCTTGATATCATTGTACCATGTATGTACTTATTGTTTTGAAAAATAACAAGTAAAAAAACATTAAGTTCGGCCGGGTCAAACTTTTAATATCCTCCACCTTAGGGTAAAGTAAACATTAGAAGAAATGTGGCAAAAACAATTAAAATGCCGAATATCGGCAGGTACCGTTATATTGGTGCTATACCAAATCGTGGACCTACACATACAATGTTTTGCCAAAGGAGCTAGAACCCATTATGACCTACAAATACCAATTTTCAGAAAAATCCGTGAAAAAATGTGTCAAAAATCATCAAATTACCGAATATCGGCAGGTACCGTTATATGGGGGCTATACCAAAACGCCAAAGGAGATAGGACCCATTATGATCTACAACTACCAATTTTCAGAGAAATTCATGAAAAAATGTGTCAAAAGTCATCAAATTATCGAATATCAGGAGGTACCGTTATATGGGGACAATACCAAATCGTGGACCCATACATGCAATGTTTTGCCACACGCACAGGGACCCGTTATGACCTACAAATACCAATTTTCAGACAAATCCGTGAAAACATGTGGCATAAATCATCAAAATACCGAATATTGGGAGGTACCGTTATATGGGGACTGTACCAGAACGTGGACCGATATATCTTATTTTCAATACCAACCATCCTAGACACAATACAAATTGCGCTGCTAAATTTTGGGGCTCTACGTCAAATAATGTGGGCTGTATCGTGATTTCAACAGACAGACAGACAGACGGACAGACAGACAGACAGATCGTTAAATCGACTCAGAATTGTATGCTGATTATGAATATATATACTTTATGGGGTCTACGACGAATATTTAAGGATGTTACAAACGGAATGACAAAGTTAATATACCCTCCTTTCTAAGGAGGGTATAAAAACAAAATATTTTCAAAATCAATGATTGGGAAAAACGTAGATTGTGGAGCGTGCTTTGAAGATATAACCCAGTTTTGCCATGGAATCGAAGGAGTGAACACTCTGGTTCATATTTTTTTAAAAGAAAATCCAGACACTTCATTTATCTTTCGCTTTGTTTAAGTCATTTTTAAATGGAGGAAAAATGTGAAAAAAATGGAAACAACTTGTTGTATATAATTTTGAGTAACTCTGACAGGAAGCGGGCATAGCCTTAGAGCTGTATGTCTGTAGTTTTGCGAAGCTGTCCTACCTCTTTGTTGTAACATGTGTTCGTCCGTTCGTCCGTCTGTCCATGCATTTTTGTAAACAATGTACAGTTCGCATTTATTGCCCTATCCAGATGAAATTTTGCACAAATCATTTGCTTGGCCCAAGGACGAACCCTATTGAAATTGGAAATAATCGGTCAAAATTTAGATATAGCTCCCAGATATATCTTCGTCCAATTTGCCTTTTATTGTGCACCAAACGTGTAATATCAGTCCAAATAGTATGGAATTTTGCACACACAACCAAATTAGGCCTGGAAATAAGTATGCCAAATCGGTTCAGATATAGCTATAGCTCCCATATATATTGTTCATCTTATTTATTATTTTTGTCCTCCGCAGCCGTAATATCCACATAGTAACAACAATATTTGGGGAAATATATCAAATACAGCTTAGAAATACATTTGCCAAATTTTATCGAGATCGGTTCAGAACTCAAGCGCCGACCATGGCGACGGTGAGGGCCGTCCTAACAGCCGATGGTCGCTCTTCGCTCGTATTAATCGACCGTGGCATCAGAAAAAATGTCGAATATTATGGCGAAAATCTTCTGGAGGGAGTATTAAAGTTCGGATTTTATAATCGTTTTGGTTATTTAAAACTTTGAATCTTTGTGGGGGAGGTAGCAGAAGGAATGGTCCGACCTCTAGCATATTTATAACATCTCTTGTGTTGATAGAAATATTAAGATGTACCAAGTCTGAATGGAATCAGATGTTAATATCGAATTTTATGAGCCTCATGGATATTCAAAATGTTGACCTTTTGTGGGGGAGATACTTAATGAAGTGGACAGATAAATTCCATCTTCATAGCAATCTTATGTTAGTAGAAATTATGGAATATGTGAATTATTAAAAGAATCGAATGCTTATTTCGGATTTTATAATCGTTTTGGTCATTCAAAACGTTGACCCTTTGTGGGGGAGGTACCAGAAGGAATGGTGCGAACTTTATCATCTTTATAACATATCTTGCGTTGGTGGAAATATTGAGATGTACCAAGTCTGAATGAAATCGGATGTTAATTTCGCGTTTTATGAGCTTCATGGGTATTTTTGACCCTTTGTGGGGGAGATACCATGAGGAGTGGACTGATATATTCCATCTTAACACCAGATCTTAGGGTTATAAAAATATTGTCATGTGTGTAATTTAAAACAATCGGTCTCTTATATAACATTTTATATGAGTTATAATTATTCAAAATTTTGACCCTTTGTGGGTCAGGTACTTTATGGACCGATGTTGTCCATTTCGCGCAAATATTAGGATTTGCAAAGTTGGATCAAAATCTTTTCGTTTTCTGTGCAGTCAAGTATTTTTGTGATAAATTTGAATTTTCACTTTTTATGGGGAAGGTACAAGAAGGAGTGGACCGACATTGCCCATATCCGAACTCGCGGTTTAATGGAAAATTTGACTTTTATCTAACACAAATGTTATGGTCTATTTCACCAACTAAATATTACACGATGACCATCAAAATTGAAAGACTTCTGCCCAGCCCTAAGCTCTAGCCCATGCAAACTTCTGCTTCGATTGGTCTATAATTGTGACCTGTAGAGCAACTGTTAAATTAGGAATTTGGTTCATCTCAGTCACTAAATATTATGCGATCATTTCCAAAAGAAATAGGGTTCTATTCTGACCTTAACGCCATCTCAATATTCAATTTCGTGAGGATCGGGCCATAATTTCGACCTGTAGAGTGATTACAAATTAACATGGACAGATGGACGGACGAACAAATATAGCTAGATCGACTCAGCTCGGCGAGATAGGAAGATCCATATATACTTTCCTATGTGGAAAACCACTATTTCGAGGTGCTACATAATTGTTGGCCCAATCAAACTTATAATACACATAGTGTTGTAGGGTATAAAAATTGAAACAAAGCTGCAAGGCAGATAGAATTTGGATTGCAAACATGTTTAATTTAAAATTATGACACGACTTGGCATTTTTTTCATTGTCAAACAATGAAACTTCCATTTCAAACCTCATGCACGCAGTGACCTCTTGGCTGTGAAAGCATTTCTTTTGTTTTTTGCATTTTTCTTCCATCAGTCAATTGAGATAAAATCTACAAATCGTTGGCCACAAGAGTGGTGCACAGAAGAGACGGGAGGATGAATGGAAGTCTGTTTAGAAAAATAAACAGATTGCAGTTTAGCTAGCTATCTGTATACCTAGTTGTGGTGCAAAGTCATGATGCGAGAACAACCTGCTCGTCAAACATGCTGATGGGGTTGAAGAATTGCAGTTGCAGCATTGAGACATGCTGCATTTCTCTACGCGTACTTCTCATCACTCACCCATTCCCTTCTCCTTTTGTCTCAATACCATGAGAACTTTTTCTCCTTCGCAGCTAACACTTGTTGTAATGACAGGTTGGTTGGTTGTTCGTAGGTACATACATACATATGTGTCTAGATATCTATCTGTTTGCCTGCGAATTTGTCTTTTCGCATTGTAATGTGACGAGAAACATTGTTGTTATTGTGGGGGTTCTAGCTACTCTCTTTCACTTTTCTTTTGTTTTCTGCTTCAATTGAAATATTCTGCAACAGAATACAATAAAATGTTTTTTTTTTTTTTACTTCTAGTTACTTTTACTTCTAGCTACGTGCCATGCCACCACTGCTGTGATTCTGCTTCCCGTAGACATTATGGTGGCAGCATGCGCATCTTTCTGTTTTCAAGAAGGCATTTCTCTGCGATGCATTGTCGTAAAGCAGGATGTATATGGGTTTCATATACAGGTAAACCCGAATACAGTAGTGGGTTATACCGGGTAAA